GGAGGTGGTGGAGTCGTGGTAGCGTTGGTGATGGGAGGGTGGTTGGACTAGATGATCTTGCAGGTCGTTTCCAACCTTGTGATTCCCTGATTCTATGAAAAGGTCATGGGGAGCAGAGGAGGAACTGTACACAGGCAGTGTACGACAGAAGTCGTTCTCCTTCCAGCCTTGAAAGGCATTTTGTATATTTCAGGATATGTTCACTGCTGCACTAATGGCAACCACATGTAACAATGTTAGTGTTCAACCTGATTAATTCCCATCCTTTCAGTCTTTTACTTTGAGCACAGTAGTTCTCCAAACTATTTAATGTTGCTGTGCTCTGATGTATATTGCTGACATTCGGGTAATTGGTTGTCCATAGGAATTGTTGCAAATCACCATTTGTTTGCTGGGCTAATACTTTATGGAGTAATATTTTTAGAACAGTTCATACGGTGTAATTCATCAGACAATTATTCTGTCTCTTAAGTTTTTTAGTCAGTTAAGTAGTAAATATTACAAAATTAGATTTACTGTTAATACACATGACTCATAAACATTCAGAGGTGAATACATGTTTTTTTTTTGGCTTACAAATGTAAAATGTCAGCAAAATGCCAAATAATACGATTTCAGTAAGAGACCATGGTATAATTAATGAAATAATATTCAACCCTAATTTAAAAAAAAAAAAAACAACAGTAAAGTGTCAAGGCTGCTTGGCTCAGATTAAGTTGACAGGGGGAAAAAACATCAATTTATTCCTGTAACTGTTTTCATGGCAATTAAAAGGCCTGTGTTCTAATCAAAATCAGATTTACAGACCGTTTCTAAATCCTCTCAACAGAATAACTGTAGTCTCTGTTGATAACTTCTGTTTATACCACCTCTGCATGTTTTACTGCTGTGCTGTGTCAGTGGTTCCTTCACACACACGTACAGTGCAAGTCCAGGTTGATGTGTGTGTGAGAATGACCTCAGCTTCAGGCAGCGTGCTGCGGTCTGTACTTCAATGGAACATACACATGTGTCACACCTGAGAACATATTTTAAAGTCACTCCTATTGTTGCATTCATTAATAGTACAAGGAAGTGATGCCTGAATGTGGCTGGCCAACACCTTCAATATGCCTTTTTGCTTGCTTGCATCTTTCTGTCCCACAGCTGTAGTGTCAAATGAGGTTACTAATACTTTGAATTCAAACAACACCAGAAGCCTTGATTCAGAGGTCCTACCTAAGCATTCACTTGCAAGAAAGAAATGCACAATTTTCTACGCAGAGAACAAAGAGGATTAAAGCATGTTTTGGACAAACTGGGTGGAGGACAACTGAATTAGGGTAGGATCTCCTCCCAAATTCATTCTGTTGCACAGCCTGCAGACAATCTTGCCAGCAAAGACCGGTCTCAAGAGGGTTTTGGAGGTGCACGTTAAATGGTCACTGGGCTCTGCTATTGCAGATTGATATTGCCCGTTCGACTCCTTGGTCTTCAAAATTTTCTAAATCATGATTGTGACAGAATGGAAAGTGAGCAGTGGTGTGGACACAGCATGAAATACACCTTCAGAAACAGAGTGCAGTGAAGTGTTGTTATCTGTATGTTGACTGTTTTCTTAGTCATTCAGTCAGGAAATTGGTTTTCCTTTCATGTGCATTGGATCTGTAGAGAATTGGTATCAATTTTGTAACTGAATACCAACCTCTTTTAAATTTACAATGCCACCATATTCCTCCTGGAAATAAATATCACTGAATTTGCTATTTGCTGTTCTATTGCAGGGCGTTTGATGTGGAGCTCCTTTATATAGCTCAGCACTTGAGAATACCTATAGCAGAAGTTGCTGTCAACTGGACTGAAATTGAAGGTAAGGAAGCACTTTCTTTTTTGTTAAGATTCCTTAAGTATCAATCCAGAATAAAATAGCTGAGGATTTGCTCAAAGTGAATCATATTTTATCCAATTTTGATAGCACGCAGCCTTCTTTCCATACAAATTCAGAATCCTTGCAGATTCTGTCATGGCAGGGTAATACAGACACAGGAAGAACAGGTGAACAGAGGGCAAGGGAGAGAAACTCTCACTGGAGACAAAGTAGGTAATTATACTGCTAGGGCTACCGAAGTAGTGGTGAAGCACTACTTCAGCACATCCTCTTGCTATAATGCAATAATAAAAATGTTGTTCTGGTAAAATGCTATGCAGAAAGCCTAACTGTCATTTTTGATTTATTCATCTCTGTTCTTCTGTATCTTTTCTTCCAAAATTCTCATCCTACCTATCAAGACCTTCTTTAGAGCACCCTCTGTTAAGATTTGGTTTGACTCTTTCAGATATGTACAGAGGTTTCTCTTATTGGGGTGCTAGGAGGAGTAGCTCCATATATGTACCAAGAGGTACTGCTTGTTTCCACTTCCTTGCTTTCCTCCTATCAAATACATTTCCTTCCTTTCTTTTGCTCTGATGTTTTTTTGTTTTTTAACCTGAATCTTTTCTCCTCGGCACAACCCTGAACAACAAAAAGAGTGATGAGTTGTGATGGTGATAAAGGATGCAGGCAAGCAGAGAACATCCTGAGCCAACTTCACTGTTAAAAGAGAATGTTTTCTTTCAGTGCAGTTTCAGGTGTATTGCATCTACTATAAATGTTAGCAGAGATGGAAGAGGAGTTATGATGTGCATTCCTTACATTGCCTGGACATTGGCACGTTCATACTGCTTTAAGAGCAGGAGATGATCATCTTGTACAAAGTCACTCAGAAATCCTTTACTTAACTGTTGGTGTTCAGGTTCCTATTCACTTGAACAAAGCCCTACTGCAAAGCAGTCTGTGTATCCTGTGGCATATGGTGAACTACTGTGCTGCTTCCAAACTGTATCTACCTGCTTATGGTATAATGTAATGGCTGTAAGGCAATACATTTTAATACATATTTTTACAGTATTTGTAAGATTCCTTAATTAAAATTAAAGTCTGTGTACTAAGGCTGAACGTGCTGAGAATGCAGAGCTTCACGACTAGTAAAAGTATGCTTTGCTATTCCTCATTTTTTCTAACAATGTCCTTCTGATTTTCTTCTTCATTAATCACAGGTTCTAAGTTAGTTCCCTTTTGGAGCTGGCTGCAGATGGGCAGGGATCTTCTTTTTATACGACTGCGATATATGACTGGTGCCTGGCAGCTTGAAACAAGAAAATGTAATTAGGTTATTTACATTTTTCAAATGTATTATTATACTTAATGGAACATGAGAACAGTTTCAATCAAGTGAAATGGTGTTGAAAGCTGAGGTAATTCTTTATTGCTCCTGCTGTATGTTTCATTTTTGCAGCATGTGTGTGTTTTGTAAGATTCTCAACAAGGAATTTGTACAATGTTTTGTAAAGAGAAAGCATTTCCAAAGAACATTTTCTTGTCTGGTTGTTGGGTCTTCCTTGTATGAAATAGTTGCATGACCATGTCATGTAAACTCACTCACATAAATATATCTGCCTTTGTCTCATTGTACATTCAGAATTTACACTAGTAACATTTATACAAATTAAAGGAGGCACTCTATTCTACTAGGTGCAATATTGGGCTGTGAATGGCCACAACCACTTTTCTCTGTAATACCTGGAAATATATGGCCATCTTACAACTTGAATGATCAAAATTGATTCGCACTAATGTGTGTTTAGATTCAGTGTTATGGGAAACAGTGCATTTTACTGATTTATAAAAGCAATGTTCATAAGGCTGTTCTAAGAACTTTCAGTAGTCTCTTGACATTCCAAATGTTCTAAAGCTGTCTGAAGCTCAAACAGTTCATCTGAGATCAAACTGCAGATCGCCTCCAGGCTGCAGAAGTTCCAAGAGAAAGCACATTTCATTTCAAAATGTTGTCACTGATAAATGTTTTGTTCATACATGCTAATAAATACTGCGGGCTCAAGGCTAGTAGTCCTTGGCATCTCTGAGTCTGTAGTAAAAAGGGTATGGAAAACTAATGCAGAAATGAGACCCAGTCCACACTTGGGGGCCTGTTCATTAGCCATGCTAATATGAAGTTCTCACTCTTTGAATGTGATCAGAGGAGAGTGGAAGGACCTTGAGTCTTTCTTATAAAGCCACACCTTATTACAGTACGCAGCTTTAGTGTTGTCAGAACAGTTGTGGACTGCCAACAAACAAAGCCAAATACAGATATAAACAGATTTAAAGAACGAAGGGTATATGATCTGTGCTTTCACATACTTTTCAACTGATGATTTTTCTTGTTCCTTCTGCAGTGCTATACTGCAATGTTGAGTTTTGCTTCTGTAAGGGTTACCTCAGTTTTCTGTATAATAAACTGCTGGAATAAATTCTCAGAAATATCTTTGATTTTCAAAATTTCGTTCTCCTGTTGATTTCACATATATCTCTCATTTCTGCAAAACCAATCACATGACTGACTGCTGACACTACTTAAGTAAAGAACCAGCTTCCCAGTTTTGGTGAGAGAGATTGCCCTGATCAAACCTGGATAATTGTAACTCTGGCTGTGATTAATTAAGCTTGCTAGCCCACCCTCAAATGCAGATTCCTAAAATGTTCCTCGTGTCTTACCTTAAAATGGAATTTATTTTAAATCTAACCAACATAGTTCATCTTTTTCAAACGATGAGACTTAGGTCATGCGTTGTTCTCTGCATGATCTGTAAAAATCTGGTGACCTCTTCTTCAAGAAATTCTTCTGTATTGGATGTCAAAGCTTGGAAAGAGGGGTGCTGCTTATGAGTTTATATATATATATTATGTTTTAATTTTCTACAAAGATCTTTTAAAACCTTGCAGATAAGACTCTTCAGTAAGTCTCACTATTGAGCTGTCTCCTTTAACAGCTGTGCATAGGTCATTCCAACAAAAAAAAATTTTATCTTCCACCTCAGAGGCGCAGAGGTAAGGCTGGATTTACCATTTTTGAGCTGGGGATTGGACAATGGGACTTGTTGGCAGAAATTTCTCTTCTGGGATGAATGGGGATTTTCTCAGAAAATTTGAGCCCTGGATAAAGGTCACTTCATGTCTAAATGGTCCAGAATCTGTTCAGTGTCTCTGAGGTCTGTAGGCATGGCGCAGGTCACAGCCGAACATCTGTGTCCTTCTCAGCTGTCTTTCAGAGCAGGTTTGCCATATCCACGCTCTGTTGGAGGTAGTCCTGAACCTCCACTCATTGCCAAAGTGGGCCTGAAAAATATTTTAAGAGCATGTGACAGACGTAGGCAGCTGTGGGACACCTGGCACAATTTAGGTTACTTGTGTAGGTGTAGCCTGACACATTCCCTTGCAGAGAGGATAAAGTTGAACTGGGATGAAAAAAAAAAAGAGTAAACTGGGACAAAAAGAGTACAGGGAGAAGCTGAAAAGGAGGCTGATCTGGGACTGAGATTGGAGGGCAGTGAGTGAAATGGGAGACAGAGCGCTGAGACTGCATGAGGAATGGGGTGGAACAGCATTGGACTCAGCAAAAAAATACAAGATCAAGGGAATGGCTAAGAAGACAGATCAATTAAGGACAGAAAAAGAAACGTTGCTAATGAGGGAAGGGGAAGCTGAAGGGGTTCGCTAAGCCAAGTCCTCCACAAGAATAAGGTTAGGACAGAAATTTCACAGTTTAAAGCAAGTTGGGACTGTGGATAGGATACAGCAATATTCAGAGTCTGGGCTGGAACCCAGGATCCCTTTCTAAGTGTTTCTCTGTTGTTATTTAACCTTCACAAAATCCTTTGGCAAATTATATCTCATCTTTGTGTGCCAGTCCTTAACTGGCTGCCAGTATCAGTTATTCTTCCAGCCCTGGTCACTGCAGTCTGCTCCAGTTCTGAACAGCATTAAGGAGCAATGGAATCTTTAACAAAGATGCAGGAGACTATACAAACCAAACTTCAGTAAAAGATGGCTTTTCCGAATTAGAAACCCAGGTATGAAGAACGCAGGAAACAGAAGTAGCCTTTCTGACATTTTCCCACATTGTGTTTTATGTGCTGTGAGAGGAAATGTTTGCTTTAGGAAAGCTTTTCATGTAGTCGTATTTCTAGTAGTTTGGACTGATTTGAGAATTATAACTTGTATGGCAAAGGCATCTGGATTGATTGACTTGTTTATAAATTGGAAGCTTGGATAGCGTGTTCATGAGACAAGGATAAAAGAGGGGCAGTGCACTCTCCTTCATCAGCCTAAGGTCATAGCAAGACAGGCAGATGGTTCTTATTCCCTCTTGGTGAAATGTTCAACACACTCAAAGGGATGTTTAAGAGAATCCAAGCCCACATTTTAAGAAATGGTGAAAGGATTCCCAAACCATTCTGAAAGTCATTTCAAGGGGGTATGTGCACTGTTCAGTGATATAGATGAGGCAATATCTCTATCTTTATAGAGAGCAGCACTCAGTAGTGCAACGGGGCTGTCATACTTAGTGCTCAGAAGTCTCCTGGGTAGCATCTTCAACTTCTTCTTGTATTTGCAGATTATGAAAGAAGCATAGGCTCACAGGTGAGCAGGGCTCCATCAGGCACAGGCTCTAACAGAAGGTTAAGCTCGTGCTTGGCTTGAGGCTTTTACTCAGTCACCAGCGTTCTTCTAACTATGTTGGGCAGCTGTACATAAACATAAACATCATAGTCTGGAGGCAAAGGTGTGCTTACTTTATAGAACCCAACAAGGAGAACAAGGATTAGCAGAAAGTGACTTTATGCTATGAAAACTAAAGTGCAAAGGAGCTTGTCCACAGTGAAATGTAGTGTGTATGAGGAACTTCAAAAGATTCTACAGATCATGGCTTATCCAGATCCATGCAGTGCAGAGCAAAGATTTTGAACACCGATAAATTCCAAACGACAGATTTGGGTCAGAAGTCTTAAGTGCATTTGTGTCTTGAGACCCACATCAGTACATAACAATGTGTTAGTAACTTAATCCATGTATTTACTGAACGGAGAGAAAAAGAAGCATGCTGGCAAGTATAGACTGAAAACTATTAAGCAAATATAAAGGATAAGAAGATGTTTTGAGGGACACAGTGGCTATGAATTTCTTACATGAGATGACTATGTGGAAGAGACCCAAATTACAGCATCTAACAGTTCTGATGCCCAAGCAAGCAGTAGTCTCTGACACCAAAACATTTTACACAAACCAAAGAATTATATAGAAATGTCAGAGGCAAACTGAAGGGAATCATAATTAATTTGTTTGAAACTGTCAGAATTCAGATCCTTTAGAAGTTAATGATGTCTTATAAAAATCTGGAGCAGTCAGAGATGCTGTGTCTTTGCATGAAATACATGTACTAAGTCATCCATAGCCTGATCATCTCCAAGCTTTTACCTTAAAAGGAGGAGCTTTTCTTGTGAAATCTGTACATTTTTAGATACTAACTGATGAATCAGCTTAGTGTACTTCCAATATCTGTATGCAACTATCATCTGAGCCAATGGGAAGTTTGGAATCATGTATCTTGATCTTCCCATGAAGATCACATCAGATGACAGCTTTTGGACCGGATCCAGTATGTGACTTCAGAAGTTAACCATCAGGTTCCTGGGTCCCTGACCTTGTGCTTATTGGAATCCAGAATCCTGAACGAGGCACCTTTTACCCGTGTGAAGTACTACTTGTCCCAGACCAGTCTGTTGGCTTCAGTCAGCGCTGTGTGACATCAGCCCCTTCAGCAGGCAGAGAGGTCTGCTCACTACATGGTCCAGAATAGAAACCTTTCAGAAAAACAGGTCTGAGCTTTCCCTCAACAGAGCAGGAGTCTGCTTACAATTCAGACCGGTACCTAAGAAATGGGAGACCAAGAGCAAACTCCCACACTGGAAGGAGATCAAACCCACCTGTCCCATGAGATGTTCTCTAAATACCTCATTTATCATAGCACTTAGCTGAGGGTGAGGAAACTTAGATGCCAGCCCTTCTCTTTGGGGTATTTACTTTTTTGCATCAAAATCCAGGATAGATTTCTTCAAAGTACTACTCTCCTTTGTGTTCTTTCCAGCATAACATAGTTGGAATTGTTGCACAGCAATCCCAGAAGTGGCAGAGGATGCTCCTAAGTACCATTTCAGAAGCAGCTGTGCTAGTTTAATTGCACACAACCATAACAAGGAGCATTCCCTCTACACCTGTTCTCAGGCTGCTTGGAGTTTCTTCACCAGTTCTGCTTAATACAATGGCAGGATGCCATTTTCCATTTTTGTTTTTTCTTTTCTTCTGAGATAATTTTCTGTCCTTTCAGTGATTTTAAATTACTCACTGAATGCTCCAACAAGCATGCATTAAAAAGCAGCAAAAGGAGGACTTCCCCTTTTGACAGTCATGAACTCACCACAAGCTCATAGAATGACTTCTCACCTATGGACTGAGCCACTTTCCGACAGTAGGAAATGCAAATTTAATTTTTTTCTTTCCTCTTTCAAGCTGAGACAGGAGACAGGAGCTGAAGGTACAGACTTCCAGCAGGTAAGTCCTGGTGCTGTCTCTTTATGTATTCCAAAGCCAACACTTAGTTTTACGCAGTTCCACAACACAGAATGGGAGGCTCTAGCGGGCGAAACACTGATTGATTCAAGTTAGATGTAGTCCTACTTAACTGCAGAGATTCTACAGGGAGCTGAATTGTAAGTAGATTGCTTCCCTGATCACAAAGCCTCTTGTCCAAACAAGGACTATGCCTAGCTTTTCTTCATTCCTCTCCATAGGGGAAGTTTAAGACAGATATTAAGAGAAAGTTTTTCACTCAGAGGGTGGTGACACACTGGAACAGGTTGCCCAAGGAGGCTGTGGATGCCCCTTCCCTGGAGGCATTCAAGGCCAGGCTGGATGTGGCTCTGGGCAGCCTGGTCTGGTGATTGACAGCCCCGCACATAGCAGGGGGGTTGAAACGAGATGATCATTGTGGTCCTTTTCAACCCAGGCCATTGTATGATTCTATGATCAACCAAGCGAAGTGCAAGGTTTTACACTTGAATCACAATAATCTCGTATATGTATACAGACTGGAAGAAGAATTACTTGAGAGTAGCCCTGCTGAGAAGGACTTAGGTATCCTGGTAGATGAAAAACTTAACATGAGCCAGCAGTGTGTGCTTGCAGCACAGAAGGCCAACAATATCCTTGGCTACATGAGAACAGGGGCAGCCAGCGGGGAGAGGGAAGGGATCATCCCTCTCTACTCTGCCTTTGTGAGGCCCCATGTGGAGTACTGTGTCCAGGTCTGGAGCCCCCATCACAAGAGAGATGTTGAGCTTTTGGAGAGGATCCAGAGGAGGGCCATGAAGATGCACAGAGGGCTGGAGCGCCTCTCTAGGCTGAGGGAGCTGGGCTTATTCAGTCTGAAGAAGACAAGGCTGTGAGGAGACCTCATTGTAGCCTTCCAATACTTAAAGGCAGATTATGATGACTTTTAAAGGTCCCATCCAACTTTAAGGATTCCGTGACTATGATCATAAACAGGAGGGAAATTAACTTTTTATATGGGTGACAGGACAAGAGTTTTAACTAAAGGAGGGAAGATTTACATTAGATGTCAGAGGGAAGTTTTTCACTGTGAAGACGGTGAGACACTGAGACAGCCTGCCCACAGAGATTGTGGATGCCCCATTCCTGGAGGTGTTCAAGGCCAGGATGGATGGGGGCCTGGGCAACCTGATCAACTACTTGATACAGCAGTTGGCAACCCTGCCTATGGCAGGGAGGTTGGAACTTGATGATCCTTTCCAACCCAAGCCATTCTATGATTCTATGATTAACTAGATTTGGTAACTCTCCAGCATTATCACAAAGCAGGGTAACTCTGAAATGAATAGTAACGCAGCTGTGAGCAGTTTTCAGCCATATAAAGTAATCAGAAATCTCTACTGTGAAGCATAAGCAGCCAAGTGCAAAAGACAGCTCCAGTTCATTCCGTGTCAATAGCAGTGTATCAGTTTACAACTCTCAGAGCTCCTGTGCAGGCCTTTCAACCACCAGTAACGCAGAGAAGTCCAGGTAAGTGTTTCACCACAGAGAGTGAAGTTGTATTCATATGTATAAACATACATAGCAGTAACTACAAGGCACTGGATAGTCCCAGCCAGTACATAACTTGAATCCCTCCGCCACTGTTCATGACTCTGGAGACCTATCCATAATTATTTATGTACCTATTGTCCAAGTGTTCTTTAGGTTCACAGCCATCATGCTGACTGCAAACTAAAAATAGTCTAAATGAAGAGACAGGCAAAGCTAGGATGCTGCAATGAAGTTTCTGTATCTCAATGTTTATTACTCAAAATAGCATCTAACCTTATTTATGATCCATGTACGTTTCTTAGGGATGCAGTGGCACGTCTGTTATAGCTCAAGGGGCATGAATTAAAGTAGTGTTCAAGCACTGTCGAAGACTGCACCCTGCCAACTGAACCATAAGTTATCTACCTCTTCGGGATAGGGATTCAGAGGTTAGGAATTGGAGGCTGCTATGTCGTGCCTGTTGCGTTAGCCAACAGCACATAAGGGAGTCTCAACCACAGTAGCCCAGGGGGTCACCAAGACTCAGGGGAGAAGCTACAGACAAACCTTTTGTTTCTTGCTGGAAAAAGAGATGGTATTTTTATATGACTGTGCTTAAATGATAGTTGTGAGATCATAGCTGGGAGGAGTGGGTTAAATATGATTTCATTTGAAAGATCTGTCAGTAGAGAAAGAGCTAACTAGCCTCCATTTTCCTGGATAATTGTTAAGATTTTCATAGATCCATCCATTTCACAAATCTGTTCAACTGTTCTAACTGCTTAAATAGGTATTTCCCTGGCCTAAAGAAAACAAAGAACATTTTTTCCAGTTCCCTCTTTTTTGGAGAAGTCTTCCAGGTACCAGCACACTTTTCCAGGTAACAGTCAATCAATTTGTAAGTTGTCTATCTGCCAGATTCTTATACTAGATACGTAATACACATGCAGCCTTAGTATATGCAAATTCATTAGTGCCATGGATAAACCTTATTTTGCAAAAGCAGTATGTTCCACGTCTCTCTTTCTGCAGAAGGAGGTGAACTCTTGCTGGATGTAATCCACTGGTAGGAGCACTCCATAGCTGGCAAACATGGGACACCCATTTTAGAAGAAAGAAGCAGTCAGGCCATTTCAAATCAGCAGCCTGGTCAGCACAGAAGCTCTGTGAATGCATGATGGCAGTTATTAGAAATAATTTGACGCACTTCAGGCAAATGGGAGCAGCCAAGCTGCAGCAGCACAGGGTTTGCAGTAGTACAGTATGTTGCCAACTGCAGTGTAAGCACTCCTACAGCAGGCCCACAGGGAACCCTTCAAACTGCCCATGAGGAAAGCCACTAATTGGGGGTGCTCCTCCTGGGACTCCTTGCAGCTGCCAGGTATTGCATCAGACCCTCCTCACTCATACCTTTTCCAAGGACACGTTTTACCATCACTGAACAGTAACTCAGTCATCATCTCTCTAACAGGCTGCCAGTGGTTATCTTCATCTACACGCACTCTGCCACACTTCCCAGCACTGCCATACAAGCAGCAAATTACACAAACAACTTCCTCAAGCTCACATCCTCTTTCCATGTGTTTGTTCAGTATTAAGAAACAGCAGCAGACCGGACAAACATCTTCCAGAAATGGCTTAGCCACAAGTGGTCCTTCTTACCTGCTCAGCCTTAAGTCCCTCTCAGGTCCATGGTTCCACCAGCCAGGCTCTGCTTTCCTTGTGTCTTCATATTCTGCTATTGAGATCACTGCCCTCCTTTGAACTATCAATAGTTTATTGTTTTAGTAGAGTGAGCTTCAAAATCTAGATTGAATCCAAGCATTTGCTGCTGGCGTGTTCTATGCAATATTCTTTAAGAATGAGGTGACATTAACTCTGGAATTCCCATCTGTTTTTTGCCATGTTCTAATGTTTCATCTGGGTTTTTCTGAATCCGTATAAGGATCCCGCTACAAAACAAAGAGAAATACTGAGTGTCAGCTTTTGGACTGGAGATCAGAAGAGCCGTTTGAACCACAGAATGATGAAGAGTCATTCAGTTCTGCAAACAGTTTTGGCAAATCCACTTTGCATGGTCTCTGGAAAGCAGCCTTCCACATGTGGGACAAATCTTTATCTTCCTATCTTTGTTAAGCAGTGAGAGGTTTAGCCGTGGAAGTCATTCAATTATGTCAAGGACAGGCTTCATCCTGTAGCCACATTGCAAACTCAGTTGCACGGACTGTCATGAGCTATCCTGCTGCATACTCTAAATCATCTGCTGTCAAACCAGGAACTAGGTCAAAACCACAAGGAATTTCCAACTCTTTTTGGTTGACTGTGTCTGATGCCATTTGAGGTCTCAACAACAGAACTGCTGATAACTTTTCTATCTTGTTGCCAAAAAAAACAAGAAACCAACACCATATCCATGGCCATCTTCCAATCTTTAAGCCAAGTCATAAGTTTTGGAAATGCTAATCCACTGTGTCAGCTCTTCCTTTGGTAGTTTTACAAGTCTGGCTAGATTCTGCCTGGTAGAAGCTTTCGTGATAATGAAAGCTGAAGAACAGATGAGGCCCGGACAGACTTTACTGTTTTTTAATCAAACAATAAAATTCTGGTCTCAGAAAAAAAAAAAAAAAAAAAAACATTCTGTCTAATTCTATTGCTCTCAATGATTTATTTTCTCAATAAAATGCTTCATAAGAATAGGAACAGAATTAAAAATCACCAGTTTTCAGCAAAAGTGCTGCAATGGGACTACAAAAAGTACCAGTTACTCTCATAAGGGAGACAGCGAGTAATTTCATTCAAGTATCTGCAAGAAGCTACAGAAGGAATGGTTGACTACACAGGAATGTATTAGATGTAAGTAACTTTAGCGTGCACTATTCATCTATTCATGTATTTCCTGAACTTCTATGATACATCTGAAATTCCTTTACCCACACCTCTACCTGCATGTAGGGCAAGCGATCCCATGGCAAAAAAATATGGACCTTTTCATTTAATTTATCAAAGGAATCAATTACTGGGAAATTGTTTACCAGAATTAGTATATACAGCTAGACTACATATTACAGCCACTCATCTGTAGGCTTTGCTATTACTTGCTATAGCCATTGCTTACTGTTTTACTAGCCATTACTTACTATAACCATTCTATTCTATTCTATTCTATTCTATTCTATTCTATTCTATTCTATTCTATTCTATTCTATTCTATTCCATTCCATTCCATTCCATTCCATTCCATTCTATTCTCTAGTGGTAAACAAAAAATATGCAATATTATGACCTGTCAGACCCTACACAAATAATGCAGAATGGAGATGTAACCCAGCATTTTGCCTGTGTGTGATGTCTTTCACCAGTGCCATTCTAAGCTTCATGCTAACCAAGGAAGAGCTAACTTCATATCCTGTACACTGCCTTCTCCAGATAAGAGAAGAGGATCATGATAAAATCCCAAATACAGGGTCACTGCTCAGGTATGCTAGGAATGAGTTACACCTGAAGAGCTATTCAAAGGAGAGTGAACATGGCTGCGTCTTACATTCAGAAAACTGGAAAGACTGGAAGGAAGAAAAATCCAGTACAAGGACCACTCCATTCCCCAAAATCATGGATGTTGCACCTCCAATTCTGAAGGAGTTTCAGATAACATAGTGAGAGAAGGTTGATCTTGCTGCATCACCCTCCCTATGAAGGAATTGTTTCAGGAATGGCTTGAACAGACCTGCAGGTTTAAAGGAATCTAATTTTACATGTACTGATTTCTCTGGGTTCTAAAATAATGAAGCATTCTTTCTATTCCTGGCAACTTGTGATTTATGTAAGATTATACAGTACATCCATCTATCCCTAATCTGGAAGATGGGCATGATAATTTATTTACGCTCCAAAAAAAACCACCCAACTACTAAATTTTCCATTGTGAGGGCAAAAGATTTTAATATGTTGGAATAAAAGCTCCTCACAGTGAATATCAAGCATTCACAGGGGGATGTGAAGTGATTTCATTGACCCTGTTTACCCTTTCAGCAGGCTGCACTAAAAATCCTGGGGGTTTAGCTCCTTTCTTCTCTATTAATATAAGCATTGTGCATATAGCGCTGTAGGTGTACAGTCAACATCAATCAATTATATTCCCCACTTTAAGGACATATTATTATGTGGTGATTACTTTGGGGAGAATACTTCTGCTACTAAGTGCAAATCTAATGCATACTAAAGTTGTACTTGAATGAGCAATGAGCAAGAGCTTTTATTTTTTCCATCAAGCAAGATGTTTTGGGAAAACATTTGCAGAGTGATCATTCATAAAGCTATCTCACTCAATCCGATAACCTCAGATTTAGGAAAAGTTAGCAAGCACGCAGATTGGCATTCTCAGCTGTACCTAGACAGTAATGTACAAGGAACCAAAAAGTTTCTCAGGAACCACACATTCCTAGCTCTGCAAAAGCTTCTTTTTTTTTCATATAATACTCCATGTTCTGCTGCGGACCTGTAAACATTTTGCCCATAATTTGATCTGCATTTATATTCTCTTACAGTTTAATCCCATACAGTCCTTCCAGGTAAGACCATATCCAGTATAAATGAATTCTTCATTCTCAAGGAGGAGATCAGATCAAGATGAGCAATGCACCTATGGTGGTTGTTACCTCTGCAGACAGTAAGACAGTTAAGAACTTCACAATAAACTGGCTCACAGTTCTGAGGGCTTTGCTTTGCACAGCAAAAATGCTTATAGGAAACATTCACTGGATGTAAAGTCAGTGGCAAGCATTATCTTTCATAGCCAACAAATAAATAAATAACAGGGAAAAAAATGGAAGATGTAACCATTATTTTAATAAGACACAAACCTGACATCAAAACATTATGTGACAACACAGCACTGTGTTTGCTAATTGCCACTAAATCAGAGTGTACAGATCTTCACCTGCATGAAAGTCTCCAAATGCCAGAACAGGTACTGCCACGACTATTTTGGTTTCTGTTGTAAGCATTATGCATGCACACTACACTTCAGATACAGACATCATTTAGCAGATTGATTGTATTAGTGTAAGGCTTCTCAAGTTTTATGATGCCATGGATTTTTCAACAGCAGGGAACAGTCAGTCTTACAGATCTACTACATTTTTGCCAGAAAGTAAAAGGCTAATGACGTGAAATATGAATGCCACAGTAAGGCATATGATTAATAGCCACTGAGTAATAAAATCATTGCTGACAAAATATGTCCAATGAAAAGTTTAAATCTTTTCCAATGAAAAGTTTAAATATCCTCTTGGGAAGGAGTCCTGGGTCTTGTTTCCAGTGCCGCAGATTCATTTTATTCAATGACTTGACAGGCAAGAGTTGTGAAGCAGTTCCCAGCACATGGACGAGAACCAAGAATTCCCATTCTCAGACACGTCCCTCTGTAAAAAAGGAGCTGTGTACTTCTCCAATTAGTCTGTGTCCTCAAGAGTCTTGAACCCTTTGCTGGACAGCAGCCCAATTTCAACAAGAGTTCAGGGGCCTGATGCTATAGCTTCCCATAGCTTTCCATAGTGTTTTAAGAACGAAGTACCACGGTTTAAAATTTTAAGCTAAGGAGGACCCAGAGCCCCTCTGCTTCATTTTGCTACAATCATTATATTACTGTGCTAACACAGCCCTCACTTCCTGCTTTCCTCCTTAGATAGCGTGGTACTCACTCTCCAAAAGAGAGCTGCAAGTCCTTTGTGAAGCCCTCTTGTCAAATGCCTTTTACAACACACCTCTTTATGTTGATTTCTAGCAGCTGATTCCAAATGGCTTTGCTCCCCCGATATAAAAATGGAAACAGAAATTGCCATATAAAAGCATACAGAACTTCTCTACCATCAGTACAAACACATCACTGTAAGACTGCCCTAGTCTAAAAGGTGTGATCTTGATCTTCTTGCACATCCTCATGTCTTCCCTCATGTCACTACTGAACAACCAC